GAATGGTCTATCCTTTCATTTGGGGTGTGTCTGTGGGTCAGACTAGTTTTGGAGAATTCCACTTCTCATCAGTGACTCTAGACACGACCATTGATTGAAACTTCAGACCAAACCAAGCCTTTATAGTAGTGAGTGTAAAACACTTAAAAAACCATTTCAATAGAGACAAAGAATGTTTTTGTGCTGGTGTGAGCCCTTGTATAACCTTTTCATGACTAAAACTGGAAGTACACTTTACAACGTGTAAAAATGTAAAAATTACACAAAAATGGTTTATGATTACATCAACATTTACATAAGTTTTTCATTAAAACTGAAATATAATGAGAATTTTCCAAAAATATGCCTTTCATTGATCTAGGCTAAACTAATAAAGAAAGCCTATTTTTCAAAACCAAGTTATTGGGTCTATCTTTGGAAAACATTGTAAAAAGTATCAGGTTTCTTTGTGAATTATCTATTTTGTGATAAAGTACTTGTCAAATTCACTTTGTTTTCAATATTATACAAATCAAGCAAATTATTCAGAAAAAAATGTATACCCACAAAAAAGCTAGAGTATAGTTGTTTGGCAATTGCACAGTTAGAAATGTATATATATAAAGCAAATGACTAGCCTAAGTCTCAGACATAAGTGTGAGCTATGGCCAAAACCAAAGAAAGCTGGCCTGAGGTTTAGGAACTGTCAACATAAAACAGCTTCCCCAGCCCTCAAAATTAGTGACAATTAGCTATAGCAATTTATGAAAAACATCAAATATGACTTAGAAAAACTCCTAAGAAAAAATACTCCTAGAATTTACTTCCCCTAACTTTTTTGTGAATAATATCATCAGTATATAATTAGAATATTTCACAGTATAACCACCTCATCTTACCTAATTTGAGACATCAGTTACAATTGCATTTAGTGGATAGGTGTAACAAATCAGTGCAAATGTGAAATGGTTTAAATATGGTTGTTCCATGTTTGGAAGATGTCACCTGATGGTTTTATTACCCGGTAATTCATCACCATGAGCATGAAATCTTTTGATACATATGTAAGGCACATTTTGTGATAGCACCAATATGGAAGTAGAAGAAGACAGTAAAATATTTAAAACTAATGACACTGGAATGGTTAAATATTTATTCTGTCACAAATGTGTTATTTATAGTTGTATTTACTATAAAAGTTTAACTAATTATAGTGTTAAACTAAACTTTAGTTGATCATACCTATCTGAAAAGAGTGAATTAATCTCTTAATTATTTTATTGAATGCACTTTTTTCATTTTCTTCAACCTTAAATAGTATCTGCTATATGAGCAAGTTTTGCTGTTCGAGAGTAAGGTAAGAATTGGTGAGAAGACAAAAATGAATGATAATATAATTAGAAAATAATTCATCCAGACAAAATTCTTCAGTACATAACACAGCAGATGCCTTTTAGTGTCTAAACATTGAAATTAGCTTAACTGAAATGTCAATGTATGACAGAAGAAACTCGTACTGTTTATTGATGTATTTTTGTTTAATACTGGTTGTGTCATTCACATAGACAGGCCTTTAGTAGATGTTTTTTTTTTGTGGCCTGTTGATGTCATTGCTTAATAATTACAATGATGAATTAAAAAAATATATTGAACAAGAAGTTTACATTGTTAATAACCTCTATGTACTTTAATGATAGAAATATACTATATGATTAAATTCAATTTTAGCAATTTTTGTAGTAAAAACTCACAATACACAAGTTTAATATGAATAAGATTACCATATAGCACGGCATATACTACTTTCTGCATACATTCAGAAATTCTGCCAATAATACAGGAATTTCACCCATTAGACAGAGCTCCTTGTTTGTCCTTCCATCATCAATCATTGCCCAAATATGTTTGTAGTAGGACTACTGACTAATCATGTACAGTCTCCAAACATCATGAAGTTGACTGTTTCTCGAACATATGTTTACATTCAAGTGAGTTGTATGGTTCATGTTAACAGCATTATCAATATGACTACGTAAGGATGAGGAGCCCATGCTCTGATCAAGTTAAATGCAAGACTGATCTTTGCTGCATGTCAGGGTTAGGCCCTGACAGACATCCCCCCCCCAACCCTTACTTTTTTTATTTATAACATCTCTAAGGACAGCATCTTTTAAAAGAAGGGTAATGATGTACCGGCCCTTCAAGAAAAACACTTTTGCAATTTTACCGAAAATTCGAATTGAATCACATATCTAAAAAACAATAATTACCTCAAATTAATCCAGTGTGGCATGTTGTAGTCATCTACAGCCGATAGTGAATTACGAGGCCGTTGTTTGTTATGAAACTATGGAACCAATAAAAAAAATACATATATATTTTTTTTCATATTTAAAATTATAAAACGAGTAAAATTAATCTATAATAATATATATATATATATATATATAATAACATTAAGAAAATTGTTTCAGATGCAAAAATAGCCCAACCTATTATGCAATACTCTGTTAGGCTTGTTAATTTTCACAGTTTTGATTGGCTGTATCAACTAAAATACTGGCAGATTTGTCATATTATAATTTATCATCCAAAAATAGGAACAATGATTGTTACATACTTTTCAAAAATGTTATTTAAATAAAGATCACCTGTGACTTATGATAGACAAGAGTGCTTCACACCAGCCTGATGCTAAGACCCATGTCAGAAGATACTCAGCAAGTGATAGAAAAGCAGTTCATGCATCATAGATGTGGTTTCTTGTATGTTTACATATTATCCACGTTTAAAAAACCCAGGAGAAGCATAAAGTTTGGGATCAAGACAGTAAAAACAGTGGTCATATTATTACCTTTTATCCTTTTTAAACTAATCTTAAGGTAAAAATTAATAGTATTGTTACCTGATCACCTCAAAAACAACTCATAGATTTCATATGTGGAAGGACATATGTAGTAATATATAACCAGTTCAATGAAAAGAGATAAGACTCAATGTGAAGATGGATAAAAACAAACACTTTTTTTTTTTCAAAAATTACACTGAACAATGGTGGCCATGATATGCTATACAACTATTGGGTTAAATTAACAGACACAAATTTTAGAAGAGAAATTAACTTAATGCAAAATTAAACTGTAATTACTAGAAATTGGAAAATTAACAGAAACAGAAAATAAACTATGTTTCTTACTGACTGAAGTTGATGTGATGTTAAAAGGTTGAATTAACAAAAAGAAAGATACATACAGAGTCAACAGAAAGAAAATTAACTTTACTGATGAATAATAAAGACAAAACTTCACAGAAATTTCTGGTCACTTCCAAGTCAAACCAAGAACTGCCTGATAATTCCAAAACTGCTCTCACAATTCATACACTTTCTAGAGCTGACCAATCACAGAACTAGATCACTAGAATCCAGATATATCTCTGCCTCATGTGAACGTTGTAAAGCAACTTCACATAGAAATTAGTATGAGGGTCAATACAATTATCTAATGAAATAGCCAATACCATCCTTGACTAGTTATACTAGGGCTGAATTAACACATGACCAAGTCACATTTAGCAATTTTATCACTTGACCAAGTCCTAAGCTGAAACTTTAGAAAAAAATTTTAAATTTCATTAACTATATCTCCTATATACCACAGGAAATATCAGAATATCACTTTACATAAAGAAAATTAAATACAAAAGTTATAATTATTAAGATATAATTACTGGCTGTTAAAAACTTAGCTAACCTAAAAATGTATCTTTTTATTATTTTTAAACATAATGCATATCTTAAGAGCTGATTTTTCCAAATACTTTTTCTTTGTAACTTAAGCCACACCTGTGAAATGAATAAATTGCTTTATAGTGTCATAACATAGGTATGTGTCATGATTAATGATATTAACAGTTAAAAAACTGGTAATCCATATTAAAAGCTTTAAAAGTGGTTCCACGTTGTTAAGCTTAATGTTTCATACATTACATATAAAGTTAAAGAAAAAAAGGTGTAGTTACAGTTAAAAGAACAAAAACACTTATTCATACTATTGCACAAATTATTACTTAGTACTATATAGTACAAACATTTTTGTTAATTATCAGTTTTAGATAGTTTAAACACCCCATCAAATGTGCAGAAAAAACTCAACAAACCTTTTAAATTCAATTAAACTATGCTATAGCTAGACCAATCATATTCAAATCTGATTTATACAGAACTTTGAATTTCATAATTCAAGATACATTAATAGTTTATTCCTGCATTGCTCTCATTAAAGTTTTTTGGGATGTAATTGAGATTAATAATTTTAATCAAAATGTGTTTGTTTCGAGCCTTAATTTAAATTTAAGATATTGCTAAATCAAGTAAAATAGTAGGATATTAAAATGCAACTTGATTTCACCTGGTAAAAGATTTTCCAAGTTAATCAAAAACCAGGGAAGATTATAGTATTTGTTTAGCTCATGCAGTTTAGTGACTGAACCAAGTTTTATTGTTAAAACGTTTTTTTTTTCATCTAATATTACAAGCTGCTAATACAAAAAAATGACAAATCTTCCATCTTTATGAGCTCTCATACTAATTACAATTTATATTCTTATGTTGCATTAGTATCAGTGATACCTTAGTGATACCTGAGCATGAATTCTATGTTCAATTTCATGCAGACTCAAACAACTCAAAATATGCTCAGGTGTTTCTCTGACGAACCAGATTAATGTTCATGAGCAACTCCAGGCACTCTGGGCAACTTAGAGTGAAAGGTTTGGACTACCTTGAGATATGTATCCTTAACAATGTTTAGAGTAACTCACAGAGTAAGTACAAATAACATGTACCATCAATGAATATCTAGTGATCAATCCCATGAATGAAAAACTGATAGATAGCTAAATTGCAAGAAGACTGATAAGGAATTATATTTTTACAGGAAATAAATGCCTTTCTATTATATTTCACATATATGTGTGTGTGTGTGTGTGTGTGTGTGTGTGTGTGTGTGTGTGTGTGTGTGTGTGTATATATAAGGTACAAAATTCATGTTTCACTTACTTTACAGCATCCATTGTGATGCATAGAATAAATTAACCCTAAGTCCAGTTTCAGTTTGTATTTGTAATTCAAAAATGTTATTCTGGATGACTTCATGTTTGGTGACAGTTCATGTAAAGTAATTGGCTTTTTCAATATTTTAATAAATATGATGTGTGATCCATACAAGATTGACTTTTTTTTTCATTTTTCATTTCCTATGTTTAAGCCTTACATTACAATTTAAATCTTGCAAATGTTTTAAATTTTATAGTATCCAACTTTGAAAATTAAATGCCACTTACAACTACTGAAGTATTCTCTAAAACCGAGTCACTGAAATGACGATCTGTCTTCAAGAAGTCTATACTTAAAAGTTTTTCTAAAAGTTTGTGACTTGTTAACACTTTTTTTTTAATCACTATAGATGAAATTATTACTTAGAAGCCAACATATAACATCATTTTGAAGTGCAACCTGATTGATAAAAAAAAATGTTTTAATAATATTTATATGGACACTGATAATGTTAAATAAAAACTGTCCTAATATTTATTATTCCTGATATGAAAACATCAAAATAGTGCATGTCAAGGTTTAATAACATGATACTGCATGAATATTATATCCTAGAATTCTGGCATTACTTCACAGTTAATGTTCTTCACCACATGGGTCAGAAGCAACAATTACTGTGTTTTTAATCTTCCAAAACAAACAATAGTTTAATCACTTTTGATTTTTTGTAAACAACTGTAAAAGATAAAAGCAACTGATATAGTTTTCTTTTTACAAGTTCTGGAACACTTATAAATTTGCACTAAAAAATAAAACAAAACGTTTCTGCTATATAACAAGTAATTTTGTAACCAAATTATATATTTAAGAACCTTTGCTAAAATTCATCAGAATTAATAACTTAATTACACATGCATAAATAACTTGCAATATTTTCTCATCATAATTTTCTCAACAAATTTAATATTTACATGAACATTTAAATTTTATGTTTAATTTTTTATTGTTGTATATTTTCAAGCAGTACATTGAATAAAATATTAAACATCTAAGAAAAACTGTTTTTTGCTGTTAATTTCTAGTGATACTGTGGTATTTTCAGGTGAACTAATTTCCCTACAAATATCAGTTAGTTAGATATGCTAATAACAGCAGATTCACCCAGAACATTTGTGTGGTCTGTATTTGAAAACTTGACAGTTTTCTTGTGTGTGAGAAATATTGACATTGGACAAGTTGAATAAAATCAACACAATCTTTATTATGAAATAAACAATGGCACAGCTAATGTATTTACTCATTTAAAAAGACAGGTGCTTGAGTTTGCAGCTTTCCCTCTCTCAAGACAGATCTCTGAAGAACTAAAACATGATTATCTTAATGTATGGTCTTTACTTAAATAACTCTAGACAGAAATGAACCAAAAATGTGTGCTTAAATTCTACAGGTAAACACAGGTTCTTTATCCAATTGACAGTGTCACCTTACGACCCGTTTTTTCACAGCGTTGGTCAGTTTTAACATAGACATTGTCAACTCAGCCAGCAAAGGATATTGCACTTAGTAATCCTTTAAACACAGATATTATATTACTGTAACATTCCTTTGGGCAGAACAGACATTATCTACTATAGAGAACAAAGAAACAAGGCAACTCCAACAGTCTACTGGATCATGTGTTTATACTAGCAATTGTGTAGAAACTAAATAAATGAAAATTTTTTTAAATTCCTGCATAACTATAACTAGGCACGAAAAATATAACATGCATGCATATCACAATGTTACTATGTTCTGGCTATGTTTCAAGTTTGTACCAGTCTGGAAAAACAAAAACCTTCAAGCTGTTTTTCCAAAACTAGAGCTTTTGAAAAAATTATTCAACTAACTTATATTTAAGGTCACTTCTGTATAAACAGTAAAATTTTATTTTATGAATGTATGTGATCAACTGTTTTTGATGTTGTAGACTAACTGACTAGTAAGTTCTTACACTGAGCAAAATAGTTCATAAAAAGTGGTTTACAAATACATATAATATACATTTACATTTCTGAATAAAGATATATCTAATATTTAGAAAGCTAAAATTAAAAACGTTTTCAGGGTTCTTTATTTTTTCAACCACTACTTTTCATTAAAACTTGGAATTAATCCAGCCACATATGGAGACTGAGTTTAAAATTTTGTTGTAAATTACATGATTTTGAATAGAACACTTTCTTTTCAGCTATTTTCTTAAATTCATACCTTAAACAATGGCACAGCATGAAGTGGCTGTTCTCCAAGACACACAAGATCACTTCCAATACCTAGAAGCATTAAACAAGATAAAGTTTAGTGATTTTATTATAGTGAACAGAGAAATATTTATCTCATTTATTGATTCTTTTTTTTCTGAATGATCTAAATATAAAATTTTCTCTACATTTCTTTGGCTCACAAGGACATAAAAGGATAGAAGTGGATAAGAATAAACACAGAAACAGCTAAAAAAACCTTAAAAAATGAAATTAAAATTATTGTACATATCTGGAATAAATAAATCAAAGATAAACTAGCAGTAAACATTATCCCATTTTGAAACTGTTGTTATGAAGGTATCAAAACTTTCCAAAATCCTAAGCTCATGTCAGATGTGAAATACACTCGATCTGATGCTTGCCCAGGTGGCTGTAAGCCATCTGACTGAAAATAACAGACAACTTGCATTAACCCTTTGGATATGGATAGTTCAAAGTGTACATTCCAAACTGTTTTTAAGAATTATATTCAAAATTTAATTGAATAACTTTATTATCAGCATATTTGTCAATATAATTAGCTTTAACACATAGTTTATAGATCAAATTTTTACATTATCTAAGTTATGACTTCTTAATTCAAAAGGAAACATTTAAATAAATTCTCAATCTTCACTCCTTTGTATCATGTAACACTTCTTCATTCCATTTTAGATATTCTTCCTAGCCCTATTTGAGCTTCTGAATTTAATATAAATTACACACTTATAGAACTAGAACATCAAACTCACATGCCATGCCCTCCTATCACATTGTCTTTCAAAAAAATGTCAATAGTTATTTCACAAATGTCAATAATTAGCTCTAACATTTTTTGCTATCGTTGAGTCAACTCAACCAGCCAACAGAACTATTTCAAACCACTTATAGATTAATTAGAAAGCCAGTTAAATCATAATAGTTATAGGTCATTGTATTCTTTGTGTATTTATTATTTTATTATTCTAAACTGAATATTTGAAATAAATAAAAATGTAGTAAAGTGCTAATAACAACCATATTTAAAAGTATGGTCATCTTTTACAGAGACATTGATAGCTAAAGAAAAGTACAATTCTCACTTGTAAATATTAAATTTCTCGTTTTTTATGAATATATTAATTGTTATAAAATTACTAAAATGCAAAAAAATTAGAAAAATTATCTGGTTAAATAAGAAAACTTGAATGAAAAAACATTAAATAAAAAAATATACTCCATAAGTAATGCACAAAAACCGCTCACACATGATGTAATTCAATACATTGTTTATCTTAACTTGCACTATGCTCTTGCCTGGTGATTTATTGCTTTGTTACACTAGGTTAGTTACACAAGGTTCACAGATCAATAAAACAATAAAATTAAATAAAAGCAATTGTGAAAAGGTTAGAAGACTAAAGATTTTAATGTAAATAACTTCAATTGTTTGTTACCATGTGAAGTCATTCTAGAAAGAAAAAGGCAATTTAGATATTTTTATTCAGACAATAGATGAAATACTGAGTTCTGTCAAAAGAAGTTGAATGTAGTGCAGTAATAACTGAAAAACCAAATTTCAAATTTTGTACTTACTAACTACAAAGTAGTGTTTTTACTAAGAATTAAGTTATATTTACATAATAAAGAAGAGTTTGGAAAAAAAAAGAAAGTATTCAAGTTTTGTTATACATGTACATCTTGAAGTGAAATCTTTAATTGTAGTTCAACCCAGGAAAATACGTGTATCAAACTTTCCCACTTTAACTTCACAATTTTTAATACATTTCAAACCATATTCAATTTTAATAACTGTAATTTAACTCTCAAACTAAAGGCTCGATCAAATTGGCCAAGTTCATGATCCAAAACTGACATTTATAGTTTTTAATACCAAAGCTTTTAGTACGTTCTGTGTATCTTCATGAAATTTCACAAGCGTTCAGTAAGCATTGAATTTTTAATGAGGTATTTTCACTAAACGTCTCCACGAATATATGGTGCCAAATTGTTGACTGCTTCAAGTGCAAAGTGATTTTCATGTTAAGATTAAAAATACTTTTCTTCACCTGATAATTGTCAATTTTTATTTGCATAATCTCTAAAACCTCCTAAATAAATTTTAAATGCTTTTTTTTTCAATAAAATTTCATATTTTATCTGTTATTTTCTCTATCCTAACTCAATATAAATACACAAGTCAGTAATTTTCTCTGAAGACCTACCATTGTCAATAATTCTCTGTTTTGTAATGTTAGTAAGGTCTCGATTAACTTCAAAAACTCCAACTCCTGGTGTTATTACAACTGATAGTTGTCCTGTCCGGTCAAAACTGCGGTCCACATAATGTTTTTCAAAAACTAAAAATTGTAAAAGAATTATGCACAAGTATGTTTGACCCAATGAAAAAAGTAGCTTACAAAAAAAACATTTAACATATTATTACTATTAAAAAATCTAAAGGAAAACACTTCAAAGCTGTTATCTAAATAAAAATATAAAACAGATAAAAGAGATGAACTAAGAATTCAAAATGACAGGAAAATTAGATTGGTTTCTCATTCAAAAATCAAATAATATTTTAAGTGTGTGTATGTGTGTGAGTGTATGCACACCAAAACTGATTGCCTACAATTTCTCTATTGTGATAAAATAAAAGAAGGAAACAAATCTCTTAGAATTATAATCTACAACAATATCAATGTATTTAGTATTGAAGTAACCCTGTAATTTTTGACACTTAGACAATTAATCTGATGTAGCTTCTGTATTCATCTAACATTTACATAAGTGTAATTAACGTTATGTTTCTCAAATGCACAATTATTTCTCCAAAAATTAGAAAAAGAAGGAAAAAATGCAACAAAATACTGTTCATGAAATAACATAACAGTTGTTTCAAGAAACATGCTAGTTAAAAATGAACAACTTATTATACATACTTAAAATATATTAATATACATCAGTATATCCAATATCAAGTTTTCTTATGAAAATAGCATAAAAATGTGAAAATTGGGAAGATTTATAAAATATATATATATAACGGTACAAACTCAAACAGAATGCATGTAACAAATGGAAAATTGTAGAAATAAATATTAGCAAATAAATATTAGTACATTAAGTAAATAAATCTCATAATATGAATTCAGAAGTCACACAGACAATCTTCCCTAGAAAAGTTTTAAACTCCAACTGCATAACTATTAACATCATAACTACAGTTTATTTGTTAATTATTATTAATATTGAACAGATAGAGATTAATGGTAAATTCTCCATTTACATAGTTCTAGACATAAAAATGATAACCAGAATTACTCAATGCTTTAATGTGTCTGCAGTAAACTGTTTTCTACCTGGAACAAAGCTGTACAAAATACCCCTAAACAACAATATGCTATTTTACTAATTCAACTATACAGTATACGAAGCAGGCGAATTACATCAATACATAATTATACCTTCTCATATGATTAGAAAGGGATATAAGAAGAATTTTATTTGGATCAATAAAATATTAGTAATTGAACAAAATTTGTTTTCTGTTTATCAAATTAATAGCAACTTCTTATATTAAAAGTTTTGAATAGTTTTCAAGTATGAAGTTAATGATAAATAACAGCTGAAAAGTTAAAAATCTAAATACAATTTTGTTTGTAATGATGAAATTCTTAGTTTAATATAATTATATATAATAAGTATAAGTCTTAACATTTGACTGTATTTATCTTTATGGTCAGATACAAATAATGTATTAAACTTTTATATGAAAATTCTAATTTTTCACAAAATGCCTCAAAACCATTATATAAATCTAAGGATTTTCAAACTCTCTCTGAAATGAAGCATGCTATAATAGCTTCAAAAACTGATGAGTGTTGACACAAAAAAATAATAATCAAAAAATAATGTTTTTAAACAGTTTAAAAAAAATCTGATAATCTGAAAAGTAAATAAAGACCATTCAAGGACATATTTAGCACTTCCAGAAAGTTGCCTTGTGAAGAGGTAGAGTTCACTGCATGAGGTATTTTCACTCCTTCCCTTTGGTGGTATTCAAGCACCATCTGTTGATACTGGTTGAACAACTTCTTTAAAAGAATCAATGTGGAATTCCAATCATCATACCGTTCATTCTGGACAGCAACTCTATATATAAAATAAATGTTCGTAAAAGGAAAAACAATTACACGAGTAAACAGAATTACAACAATAATAGTTCAAGAAGATGAACAGGACAGTTATATAAAGACAGCTGTAAAAACACCATTCTTATAAATTCAGCTGCATCATAAAATGTATTTGCACATTTCCTCACATACTAAATCTTTTGTAGATTGCAGTTCTTTTTTCTATAAGAAAATTTGCTTCACAAATAAAGAAAATCACAAATTATCCACATGAGATGCATATCAATTAGTATAGGCATATTATCTTAAACTCTCTTGAACAAATCCTTATTTTGACTCCATGTCTACATTACTTATTAATTTTAGTAGATTCAAAGTAGGAATTTGTAGCTTGAGAAAATCATACACACTATTTTCAGCCTTGTTTGTTTAATTTCTTTTATAGATTTCCTAGTTGTAGGCTTGAAAATATAATCTTTGCATTTTGATTCAACTTCTTTCTGAATGTTTTTGATGATCCCTATTCCCCCTTTTTAAATTAACAATTTTTACTAATCTTATTTCTTAAGTTGTTTTATGTTCATTTATGGAGAATAAATTTCATGCTATATACTTGCATATGTGTTCAGTTGAATGTTACATGTTTTTCAATAGTTTACTGCTGCATTGGCTTTTTTTCCACCCAACCACCACATCAAACTTATTCAAAATAAATAATAAATGTACAACGAAGAATAAATACATTTACTAGTATGCAACTACAACAAACAAAATGTAAAGTTGTTCTCAAAGGACCCTCTTGAAGGCAAAAATTGTATCATCACAGACTGAATGACCGGCTTTCATCAATGTCACAGTGTAATGTAACAAAAGATGAGCAGCAACAAAGTAATCTCATCAAAATAGAATAATGTTTCTTCTATGATAATACAACACATATTAATGCAATGTCAAGAGACTCAGTAACATGATTACCTTGTTAGGTCTACATGACACATATGTATGTTCTTCAACAGCCTGCTGTGCAAAAGTGTTTGCTAGAATAAGGTGACACAAGTAATGCTTGCAAGATAGACAACAGTGACACACTTAGCGTATGTCACCAATTGTCGACAACATTTACAACCTCTACCTTAACACCAACTGTTTAAAAATAACAGCTTTATGAAACAGTGCTATATACAGAAGCACGTATAACATTGTACCAGTAGAAAAGTAGCCTTTTCAACTTAAACAGATATGTCTAAAACATCACTTTAAGTATAGCTTCATGTCTTTTAAAGTAATTATATACTGAGCCAGGTGACTTTGTGCCTGAGGTTTTATGCAAACACATGTTTAACATTCATTGAGTACACAGACAACTGCTCATAACAATATCACATCTGTTATGTATTTATAACCATGTAATTAAATTTTCTTTAAAAATTTTGTATGAAAATTAAACCACTTTATTTAATATTTTGTATGGTGTATGAGCTTGTGAAACATTTACAATTTCACTTGCAAGTGGTTTTAATTTCATAACAGTTTTCCTGAATTGTTTTTCTTTTTTATCATCATTAATGATCTTGAAACATTCTATTAAATTTAAAAGAATATACATATATGGTCCTTCACTAACCTATAGAAATCCTCATAGAATCTTCCTTTGTAATCTTGCTGTAGACACTCTCGCATGTAATTAGGGAATTCATCAATGCTATGAGCTTCATAAAATGTTCTTGAAAAAAGCACAATTGTAACATCATGGTTGCAGTTCAGTTTCTAGGAGAAAAGTGGAAAGGCAAAGATGTTTTTTTTCCTTAATTTTCAGAGAAGCTTAAAACCAAAATCAAGGCTAAATTAAACAACTACTCTTACCAAAAGCATTGTTTACCATAATAGGAACTTCCATTGTTGATACATTGAATCATGAAGTCAATCTAAGTTACCACATAATTCAGTAACAATAAAAAATGTGAATAAAAAAACTGAAACAACTTAAAGTAAATACAGTAAAAGAAAACTGTGGAAAAAGGTATATGTCACCAATGTACAATTGTAAACGGTAGTCACATGCAATAAAACACACATGTAAACGATGTTGTGCCAAACGAGAAAGTGAGGATTGAGTGGGAAAATCAGAGGGAGCTAGCTGAAATTTATGACGAACATAGACTGGTGTGCTGAGAAGTAAATTTTTTGGCAATGCTTAAGGGGCAGAAAAAAAGATTGAGATAGCTTTGTGTGAAATGAGGTAAAACTGTATTGGAAGTGTGGTAAAATATTGCATCCTGATGTTAAAACCTTCACAAATTAGCTTCATTACAGTTCCTCTTGGGAATTGTCTGAAGGCAAGGTGATTTTATGTATAATTAGTATAACTTGAGAGTAATCAAGAACAGAAACTCCTAAATCTCATGCCTAATCATTGCACTGAACAATACAATGAATATATGAAGTTTATGTGAAAAGTGATTGTTGAATGTAATGAAATGTAACTTCCTGTTGTATTGTAATGAAATGCAACTTCCTGTTGTGTCAACATTTATGTGAGAATAATGTATTCTTAAGTTATGGAGTGTGATTGATCTCTCCAAATTTTGAATGTTCAGATTAGCAAGTCATGTCACAACCATAACTGATATAAAGTCACGGTGGAATGGTATGTAACAGAACTACATTTTAACATATCTTGAGATTTCATAAGTAGTATGAAGCCACCAAAAATAGATCACTTTTTTAGAAGGGTAAGTACAGTCCTTTTTAATACAAGATATTCATACATTCAGATCATAAAGATATGTTCAGGTTGGAGATTTAGAATTTCCAAGATGGGGATATCCCTTGTCCTTAGCAGTACTGTAAAACAAATGAATATGGATCAACTTGGAGAACCAGCACCATCCACAAAGAGACCTGGAACAAGTTGTACCCTAGCAAAGCACAGCAGCTTGTAACAGATGAGAATCCAAGAACACAAAGTCAGTGGCAAAAGCTATCTATGTGTCCTAAGATATATTATGCAACATAAGAAGGATCTCTGTTTGCAAAAGCAACACAAGTCACATGTTGCTTACACAAGATATTCATTCAACCATAACATACTTCAAGCAGCTGGAGAATGAAATAAGTATTCATGCTATTCCATAAAAAGATACCTACAGATTTCTGTGAGATAAGAGTGTTGAAATAGGTGCTGGGAAACCATTGTTCTTATACAATAAATAAATTCTGTAAAAATGTCTTTTGCAATAGACAGAGCATGACTGGATGTAGTGACGCTCCAAACAAATTTTAATATAATATACTAAACCTCTGTACATAAAAGATTCTTCCAGATAAAAGGAAATACTAAATTCAGTTTTCCATGACAACAAGTACGACGACTTTTTTTTAATATTTATAATGAATTGTGAATATTTGTCAGAGATAATTCCTAAAGAACAGAAAAGACAAGTTTAAACATATTTCAATAAGGAATATGATCAAAACTTCTAGAGAGATTTTTTTTTCAACTGTATGTTTATTTTTCACCACAGTAATTTAAGTAGGTGGTATAAGCACTTGTACAAAGGGTTGTTATGTATTATAAAAAAAGAGAAGTAGACATTATTAATCATTAACTTTGGTAGCACCATCTATATTTGATTCTGAGTTCATTAAAATGTGATGCTTCTCAATTGTTTATTTTGATATTTAGAGTTTTTATTCTTTAAGTTTGTTAACTCTAAGAAGTATGCAGGCTTCATCATTTTGATGAACCTTGTAACCATGAAACAATACATACTATAGTTCTCTATGTACTAAGCATACCTTCAAGAAATTTTTCATGCATTTAGTAAACATTACAAGTCTGTTGTAAACAAAAAAATAATAATTTTAACAAAGTATTTTTACTAAAGATTTGTTTGCAAATTTACAACATCAGTCTGATTACGACCCTGACCAGTCTGAGTGCAATGTGATTTTCATGTTAAGAATGAAAATATTTGTTTCATCTTACAGTTTTAATTTTTCATTTTCATAACCTCTAGAACCTTCTTAGTGAATATTAAAAGTTTTTCAGTAAAACTATATTTTTTATGTTATTTTCTCTACCATAACACCAAGTGTAGAAAATTCAGCAATGTTGGGTAAAACAAAAAGTTTAAATACATGAAATAAATCTAAATCACCATTTTTTCTTTCTAGAATGACTTCTATTGCAAGAGACAATTACACACTATCTATTCTAATGGCCAAAGCTAATACCTTTCAAATCTAGGTTAATTTAGTTTTATTGCTTTACAGATGCACTCAGACCCTCTCAGAGTATGACAAAAGCCACTTATCACAGATGGACAGCTTTATGTAAAATAAAAATCAAGGTCAGAAGCACACCATGGTTGAATTACAATCACACCATGGGATGTTTGTGTGCTACAATATTGAGTATCACGAGAAATTTTATTTAATTTTATTTCTCATTTAAGCTAACAAGTTTCTAATTTTTATATTTTAGTTACATTTATAGCAATAGATCAAAAATATACACACAAAAAAAAAAGAAATTGGGTATTTACATCAGGATGTCCAATGTTTGGTTGTTTAAAATATTATTAATTCTTATTTCAAATAGCAACTTAAAATACAAAACAACCAAAGTCCATGAAGTAGTATGCTTCAAATGATACTGAATCTTTTACATAATTTTTGCAATACTGTAACAAGATGTAACTACTGAATAATATTCTTAATCATCATTTGTTTTTAACATTTGACATTACTCACCTTCCATTTGGCAAATAGATCAGACAAGAATCCATTAACAGCCTTTTCAAAATACAAATCTCCATTGATATCAAAGTCCCACATTTCTGAACTCATCTGAATAAACAGATAAACCATACTACTCCCTGAACGGTAAACAATTTTTGTGTCTTTGGTTACAACTCCACACGCAACTCGTTCACCCTGAGCCCACATCTCATATACTTGACACCTAAAGAAATTTAATGTAAAGTTTAGAACTGCATATCCAGAGAATATAAAAATAAAATAACCAAATCTTCTAACTGATGTATAATTTTTTAGATGTCCTTCAAAATATTTACTCTATACATATAATTTCTCAGATAAAAACCTGAAAAAGAAAAATTAACTGTATTAGGTTAACTATTTGTAGAAATGAGAAAATCAGATTTCCATAATACACTGTTGATCCCATTGTTCTAAAATTGATGTATAAAAATTCCACTTTTTTGTCTTATTTATTTCAACAGATATTACTTGTGATATCAACCTTTGGTGACTGATCTTGCCAGTTCTTTATAACTTGTATATTTGTTTGAAATAGGTAAAGCTTCTTGAAACTAAATCAGGAAATCACTCTATAGGCCTATATACTCCAAGTGGTTTAAATGCATTTTTACCTTTAATTTCATTTTTAAATATAGTAAAAGGTTTTTGCGTATGCACTTTTGGTTTAATTTGAATTTAGCATTATGTCTCAAATTCATTTAGTTTCATTATCTGGGTTTTGAGTTTGATTTTTTTGTTTAGGTTTACATTATTCAGTTCAGTGAAACAGTTTTATTTTAGTTTTTCTCATTGTAAATCACACATTAACAGGTATGTGTCTCCTCTTCATACTTTTCCTCCATTACTTCTCCCCCTCCCTTTCACACACCACCCAAGTAATGTTAATTATCATTGTCATTTCCTTCATTTTCAATATTTCACAAGTATTTCCCCTACATTCAAATAGTTTTGATACATATTTATATACTGAGAGTGTCATTTCATTTATCAAAAATAAAGGATTAATTTCTCTTATAAATTTGTTTGTTTTTAAACACAAAGCTACACAATGGGCTATCTGTGCTGTAACCACAATGGGTACTGAAAACTGGTTTTTAGCATTACAAGCCTTTAGACTTGCAGCTGAACCATTAGGAGCTTCTTTTATAAGTATTTCATTTTTAATTGTATTAATTCTTTTTACATATATAGATTTACTTTTGATGTGTTCACAAAAGGATTGTGTTTTTAATATTGCATAAAGGACTTATTTGAATATATTTTAAAAGGTTGAATTAAATTTAGATTGGTTTACGTGACATTTCACCACAATAAGACCGATAATAATTTTGTAACAAATCTTTTGTCACTGGACAGGTTTTCAGCAAGAAGAACATAGCATATCAAATGTACACCTTATGCTGATGAGGCCTTCCACTCAATTCCAGATCTCATCAGATCACACTTCATCAGCATAACAAATTATATCTCAAATTATTTTATTTTGATGTTTTTGTATTCGATTTTGTATCATTTAAGTTAAAGGGTTTTTCCTTCTGTTACATTCAGATACCAATATGTTTAACAGATGATGATGCTTATTATATGTGTATGTCGTATGTACTACAAGTGGTTCATTTAGTGCAATATCATATTGCAATTCTTGTTCACTACCTGAAGGTTGACGTTTCACAAGATCACACTGTAACTTTCAAATTGATTTATAATTTAAAGTTGGTTTGAGAAGGAAATAATGAGAAGGAACTAGGGCTTGCAATCATAAAAACTATGTACAGTTTCATGGAACAATTGGATTGTGTCCAACTTTATCTTGATGTGAGACTGCTATTAAACTGTCACACAGAGCAGGTACACTTTTGGATACAAAGAGAAAATGTTGCGTGTTAAACTGATTTGTTTCTGACTGGGAATAACCAAGATTCCCCAATGAAGTCTCATCCTTGTTTCACATAACACCAGTTAGTTATGTATATTTTATTTTTAGTTCATTTTTTGAGCAGAGCTTATCATAATTTCTTATTTTGTTCAAATAATTATTTATTTTATTTTTAATTCAACACATTATATTTTTACTTTTCAACTTTAACAACAATGCCACAGTGTGCCACTCTTCTGCTTCTTGTCTCCAGTAAATACAGTTTATTTTTTTTTCCAACTTCACATTGTGTGTTGTCTCTTTCACCAATCTCAAATCATTGCAAAAATCAGGTAACTTTGTGCTAAGTTAATCCTTGTGAAACCACACTGGTAGACACAAAACGTTTACCATTAACATTAAAGTACACAGTACTTTACCATTTGAGGGGTTGGATTTCATTTTTAATTAAAACCGAAAGTATCTATTCTATTAAATCAAGTGTACAAATGCTTTGTTCAACAGATTATCTATATTAATCTATTCAGTAGATTTGTTTCTTTTATTAGCTATGAAACTGAACTATAAGAAAACAAGCAGGCATGTTTTACATCCCTTAAAAACTCTCAGTTAAGAAAGTAAATATTAGTAAATAATACAAAAAGTAATCATTAAGAAAAGGTATTTCATTAATTTTAGTAATTTATTTCAGTCTAGTACTGTAAATGAAAATATACGTATCAGACCTATCTTAACAATACAAAAACTCATCCTTTTTTATGTATCATTGCATAAATAAAAAGAGTTGTACAGTAAAAAAAAATTGAAATGTAAGTTTTTCAAGATGTTTTATATCCATAATTTCACATAAACTGTGTGAATTCCACAACAAATAATAATAAAAACATTAAGTTTACATATATGAAAATTATTAACTCTCAGAAAAAACTATTTAAGTCTTTACAGCACAACTTGTTTCAATACTTCTGAGTATACTGAATCTAAGTGACCCAGAGAAATATAAGTGCTGTAGTTCTGAAAAAAACTACCACTGTTTATAAAGAATACGAATATTATTTATAAGTAGAACGAAAAATTCGCTAAGAAGATTCAAGTAAAAATGATAAGTTAACTTCCATTAAATGAAAAGATAACCTTTTAATTTATGCAAATACATTTGTGTATGAATGTAAAAACATACAATTGTGTGTGTGCAACACTAATTCAGCTCAATGAAAAGCAGCATATTTTTTACTGCTGTTCTAAAGCACCTAAACAATTATACAACAATACGTATGCAACTTTGAAATACAAACCTGATTCCACTGAATTCAATCTTCTTGTTTGGGTACACACATGTGTTGACCTGTAACAAAAAAAAAGAAATCCTGATAATAAGCTGAAATACAAGAACACCAGAAATCTTGAGAATTTATGAGCTTCTTACAGTGTCATTTTAGTGAAGTTGATCCAGGTATTTTTTATTCAAACTAAACAAAAACTAAAACAAATTTATTAGATTTATTATTTAATTAAACACATTCCACAGTTCAGGATGGACCAAGCTCACAGCAACCTGGTTGCCATAACAAGTACCTTGTGAATTTAGAATGTAGAAGGACAACTATTTTATTTTGGCTCAAACAAAAAGAGAACAAAAACAGAATGTCAGAAGTGGCAGTTGCTCATTAAAGTGAAAAGACTATTGCACAGAAGTATTTACAAAGTTGAAATAAATGAATAACCTGTGTTTGATTTTAAAAGCAAGTAAACAAATAGCATATAATAAGAAAGAGAAAACTATAATACACTACATTTCAAAGCAACTGAAGACTATCTGGTGAAACAGGCTAGAAAGTGCAAAATACAAACTTCACTAAATGTCTTAGCTTTTTCAGTGGCAGAAATAAATCTAACTGAAATTGCCAAAACTGCTCCAACAATTCACATTCTCTCTACATCTAACCACTCGCAACATTTGGTCACAAGTATCTGGACACATTTCTGTTCTATGTCATAGCTATAAAATAGTTTCACATAAGCAAAGCAATGCAGGATACAAATATTCTATAAAACAGCAGACAGGTTCCCTAGCCAAATCCTGTTAGTTGAATAACCACAAGACCTTAGATGGATTTACTATGATTTGAATTAGAAATTGAAAAATATTAAAAATATTAACATGGATGTGATGACTAACTTATATATTTTAATTGTGGTTTTATGAATGTCAATTATTTATAAGCATGTACATTTGTATATCCTTGCCACACACACAGATGCTGGTTAACTCTTTCAACCTGGGCTCAGTCCCTGGGACCAACCTCGTAACCATTTTGTGCTTGTTATAGTTTTCATGCTATACATTTTAAATTAGTAAGCGAATGTTAACG